ACACTTTGGAATGATGCAATTTCTATCGTTAAAAACTGAAATAGATTTATCGGTATTGAAGTATTGGTCTTTAAAAGTAGTGCATGCGGAGATAAGAATGTAAGGAACATCAACTCGAAACAAATCTGTAGCAAAATTATTCACGGTGTTGGAAAAAAACGATGAGTCTAACTGAACTTTCACGGAATGATATATCATTTTCACGAAAAAGTTAGATTTTTTTTTTACTATTATTATTATAACCGGGCGTATCCTTCGGGCACATTACCTACTTTGTATGTAATTGAATCTAATCGGTTTGCTGATGAAATAATCTCATTTCCTCTTTGCCATTCTGGACCACACATTTAGTCAGTCTGCACCTTACAATAAAAAATATGAGTAAAAACGGAATTATTATTTTTCAAAACATGACACGTGAAATTAGAGACAATGTCATCGGTATATTGATGACATTGTCTTCAATTGGAATTTCCAATTTCACGTAACTCTTGATCAAATTGATGGAATTTGAAAATTCAAACGACAAAATCGTAGAGCGTTTGGTGTGACCTTTAAAATGATATGCAATATGTCGTCATAAATGACATCGAATAAATTTTAGCGGGTAATATCACACTCAAAAATGAAAAATCTTCAATAACTCGATAAAAAATTAGCTAAATTAGATACAAATATCATTTCAACGGGCATAAAATATTGTTAAAAATGATACGTAAATATTACTATTTATTTGCATTAGAAATATAAAAAAAGTAAACCAAAATGAAAGACTAGATAAAATTACCTTTGTACGTTCAAAATTCGAGAACTGCGAAATGAAATGAAAAATGGTAGGAATTACATAACTCACGTGCTTTTTAAAACTTGCTTAATGAGCTTTCGAATTCATATATACAGGATATTAACTCAATATGAAAGGAAGAGAGTAAAAATATCCCAAAAAAATCGAAGAAGCCCGAAGCGTTACGGCTACGAAAGAATTTCCCCAAAAAATCCTGCATTTAACCAGCGCGGGTTGATTATTCCCTGGATTAATTAGCTCTAAAAGCTGGAAAAATCGGATGAAAACCTTGGTAACCCCTGGAAAACTAATAAAACGTGGAAAGGAGGGACGCCCGCATATTTTTGCTGGAAAAGAGAGCAGAGATTACAAACCCTTAGGTAATTGATTACCGGTGATAGGGGATGGTCTCCACGACAAATCGTTGTCTTCACGAGGAATTTCAGTGAAGCGACGATGAGAATAGCTGGGAGATGAGCCACCAAAAAAAAAAAATATCTATATCGAAAGAGGGAAAAAATGGCGAAACAACGCGGGAGGGAAAAGTAATAAACCGGGGGATTTCGGTGTTGCTCATAATCGTGGAAGACTCGTTTTGTCGTCGGGGATGAACAAAGACTAGTACTTTTTTTCCGGTGGGTATTATCCGAGGGGAAAAAAATATACCGAGGGAAATGTGAATACGTCAACTTTCCTCGGGGAGGGACTTCCGTTCCGCAGACCAGAGATTCCAGACGAAAAAGGGGAAAAGGTCTTCTACGGGTTTCCCCGCCTCATCCCCCTGTACAGAAAAACTTCTTTGTCTCGAGTCTTTCCGAAGGCTTCACTTCCCTCCAACTTCAAATCCCAAACTCCATCTCACGTCAAAGTTTAATACATTTTTTTCTTCATCCGCTCGGGTTTTTTTGAAATTCCACGTTGTGTTACATTACCCGCACGTACGTATTTCTCACGCACTTTCTTTCTTTCTCTCTTTTTTTTCACCGTGACAGGTAGATGAAGTCCCTTAATTCCCGAGGTTATTCCACCCTCCAGACGATTCGCTTTTATTCT